GAGGTCGAGAATAGTAAGGGAAATGGAGAAGCCAAAGAACTCATACGTAGGACCCATGGACGTGAATTAAGCGATGGGGGGAGGGGAGGCAGAATGCTGGTGGGAGGGGGGATGCAGGACAGACCGGATGAAAGGGGAGGAAAAATGGGACAACAGCATCATTGATAAAATGTATTTTAAAATAAGTAAGTAAATGTTGACTCATCGACAAAATAAATGTCTCACTGGGTCTGTGCCACGGCTCACAGTGTGACTTCTGGCTAGTTTCTTCCATGACCGTCTAAGGTCAGGAGTATCTCTAGTGCTGTTTTACTTCTCACCAAAACTCCCTAATAAGTCTAAACCACAGGCCATTGTCTTCTCCTGTCCCCAGCCCCTGGGCTGTGATCACACTTGGAGTGACGCGATCAACAGGAAGTGAGCCCACCCAGGCCGTGTGGGGCGCCCATGACCACATGGCTTCTGGTAAACACAGGGCCGCCCCCCACACAGCAGCAGGCAGCCTCGGGGGTGGCCGTAAGCTCCCGCGGTCGTGGGCAGAGAGACCAGCTCACGATAAGCACCAAGCACTGCCAACAAAAGTTTTTAAAAATCAAGTACAAATTTCCATTTATAACATGAAAATATCATAAGGAGGTAACATATAGCACAGTAATTGTTGTTAATAACACAGTATTGCATATTTGAAAGTTGTTAACAGAGTCGATCTGAAAAGTCCTCATTAATTACCCCCAAAATAACATACTTGGGTATAAATTTTAAAAAACATGTGCAATGCCTAGATGAGGAAAACTACAAAACTCTAACCAAAGAAATCAGAGAAAATCTAAATCAACTGAGAGATATCCCATGTATGGGTAAGCAGGTTCCATATGATTAAGAGGTCAGTTCTTTCCAACTTGACTTATCGATTCCGCGCAATGCCAGTAAATTACCTGTTTTAGATGCTGACAAACTGATTCTAAAGTTTGCACAGAGGAGCAGAAGGCCCAGAATAGTCAACGCAACATGAAGGAGAAGAAGCCAGTCGAAGGACCAGCACTACCTGACTTTAAGACTCACTAGAAACTGTAGAAATCACGACAGAGCGGCGTCGGTAAAAGACAGACAAACAGACCAACCACTGGTCACGGCCAACACTGGGAAGCAACACAGGTGTCCTCGAATAGGTGGACGGATGATACACTCTGGTACATCTAACCAACAGAACATGATTTGGTGCTTTAAAAACAGATGAGCTGGCCCTGGCTGGTGTAGCTCAGTGGATGAGCACGGGCCTGGGAACCACACGATCATGGTTTGATTCCCAGTCAGGGCACATACCTGGGTTGCAGGCCAGTTCCCTGCAGGGGACTCACGAGAGACAACCATACACTGATGTTTCTCTCCTTCTCTCCTCCACTTCCCCTCTGAAGATAAATAAATAAAATCTTTTTTAAAAGTAAAAAAATAAAAATAAAAATAAAGGAGCTAGCCAGCCAGGAAAAGACGTGGAGGAGCCTGAAGTACGTATTACTCAGCGAAAGGAGCCGATCCGCAAAGGCTGCACGCTGCCCAGCTCTGACTACACGACACGCTGGAGAAAGCACACCTGCGGAAACGGTGAGGTCTCCCAGGGGTTAGAGGGGGAGGGGTGCGTGGGGACCACGGAACTGTAGTGGTGGGCACCGGCCATTACACGCTTGTCAAATCCCGTAGAACGAGCCACACTGAGACCGAAGCCCAGCGTGAACTACGGGCTTTGGGAGACGGTGGTGCGTCTGCAGGGCGATCGGCTGTGATGGGGCGCCACTCTCCCGTGGGACACCGACACTGGGGCAGGGAGTCCAGGAGAACTCCCCGCACCTTCCCCTCAGTTTGGCTGTGAACCCAAAGTCCTCTGAGAACCAGGACAGACAGCCCTGGCCAGTGTGGCTCCATGGGCTGGGGCATTGTCCCATCAACGAAAGGTGTCGCGGGTTTGATTCCCGGTCAGGCCACAGGCCCGTTGAGGGTCCAATCCCCGTCTGGGGTGCGTGTGAGAAGGCAACCCATCGATATTCCTCTCTCTCCCCCGACCCCCTCTTCTCTCTAAAGCAATGAGAAAATGTCCTCAGTGAGCATCAAAAACGAGAAAGAAACAGGGGAGATAGATAAGTACGCAGACAGGTCTCCTAGGGTATCAGAACAACGTCGGCGCCTGCCCGCTGCCTTTGTGAGACGCATGGTTCTCATCCCGTGTCAAACATTCAGCAACTTACAGAAATTTGTAGCTGATCAGATCCCAAGAAGATGAGGGGAAACATGTCTCCAAACATTTTATTTTGCTTTTAAGAAAATAAAATTCTAAGAACAAGGTTAAGGAATTGAAGGACGAGTTCCAGCGGCTCGCACAGGTGGGCATTCCCAAACCCCGAAAGGGCTTTCGGGAGGCCTGACCCCTTTTGTGCCGGTGTTTACGTGACCCTGCTCTGCCCCCTTCACACGGCTGGGAGACAGCAGGCACGAAAATCACGTCTGCACACAGTTCTGCCCAGCAAAGCCCGTATCTGTGCAATTGTTTTAAATTTCCAACAACATTTTCAAGTGAAAAATCAGGATAGTACAGAAAAACAGCAGTATCCTCTAGCAAGGAGGGTTCTCTTCCTTGTTCACATCTGGGTTTGGAGCCCCCGCAACGCACCCCCGGCCGGGCTCCGGGAGAGGGCTGCGTGGGTGGGGTTTCCGTGTGAAACACACCTTGGGTTCTCGTCACAAGTTCCCCCCAACTCAGGGCCCAGATCAGTCGGTTTCCAACCACGACCACGCCCTCTCGAACCACAGAGACTTCCACGAGGGGAAGAGACAGTCACACGGAGAAGGCGGGGCTCAGGGCGAAAGTGGCCCCCCAAGTGTGAACCAGGCCCAAAGGAGGACCAGCCTGCTTGGGCCCAGGGACCCTCTGCCCACACGTAGCCCCCAGCTGCCCTCTGCACACAGGGCATCCCCACCCCACCTCTCCCGGGCTCGGGCCCAGCAGGTGCCCTCGTGAGGCTGCACACGGTCTCAAGCGTGGGGGAAGCAGGCAGACATTGTCCTTACACATGGCCCCGGGGGACATCTGTCCCTATGCCTCTGATCAGACACAAGGAGCGCACACCCATCTGTCTTGAAGTCCCCCCGAGGCCACCGAGAACAGAGTCCTGTGGACAGTGCGCTCAGACTCCATCCACAGCGCCCGCCCCCACGGGCTCCTCGGTTTCTGTCCCATGAAACTGGTGTTGGCGTCCGGCCCCCTCGACCCCGACAGTAAGTGTGTCGTCTGTGCTCCTTTGTCACAGCAGCCACTGGGAACCAGTGCACAGCCCTTCTCTCGGGGCTTCCGGGCGAGCTCTGCAGCGTCTCATCCACAACTGTGTTTGTCCGGAGCTGGAAAACTCGGGGGAGGGCGCTTTACTCAAACTGCTCCTAGCCCTGTCAGGCGAGGACTCGTTTTCCTCCTCACACAGAGCTGGAAAAGGAAGGTTCGGCAAACACAGGCTGGGCCAGGACACGGAGCGCACCGGCAGCAGGCCCAGGGCGCAGGCCAGGACGGCTGCCCATGCTGTGCCTGAAGGCTCCTGCACCCCCACGAGAACGGAAACTGAGGTCCTAGCCCCACCCCCGTAACAGCGTTAAGAGGTGGGGCTTCTGGGAGGGGTCAGGTCGTGAAGGTGGAGTCCTCACTAACGAATAGGGTCCCCATATAAGAGACCCCCATACAAGAGACCCCCGGAGCTCCCTGGCTCCTTCCAGCTCCTGAGGACACAGAGGGGTCTGCATTCTGGAACACAGCCCTCGCCCGACCCCACCGGGACCCTGGTCTTAGACCTGCAGCCTGCAGGCCGTGAGGCATGCATTCCTGTTCCTAGGCCACCGGGCTGCGGGGTGCGTCACAGTGGCCCAGGCCGACGAGACAGCGCCTGTTCCCCCCTTCTGATCGCCTTTCCTTCCTCCACTACAGGACAGACTCCGCAGACCAGGCACTTTGCTTTGGTCTCGCTGTCCTCCGAGTACAGGGATCTGTGGGCACCTAAGTGTTCCCTAACAAATGAACTAGGGGATCGCTTCCCTCGGAGGCCTCGGACTGGACGTCACAGGGGATTTAGGAAAGAACCCGGGGGGCAAGGAAACAACCATTCTCCTCCCCTCCTTCTCTCCTTCTTCTTCAGTGGCTGTCAGACTGGACGGACGCAATGATGCAGGTCGGCAGGACCTGGAGAGTGAGGGGAGTGAGGCCACGCCTCTCCCTGCAGCAGCTCCGGCCCGGCCCGTGTCTGGGGCCAGATAAACGACCCGGAGAAGAGCCGCACCGATTCCCTGACACACCACTCAGACACTTACGAAAAGCATGACAGAAGGGGAAAGCGCTCCCCAAATTAGATAGGCAAGCATTTCCGCGGCTTCCCAGCTGGAAGAACAGCAGGTGGACCAATGGGGCTACAGCCCAGCGGGGACCCCGGGTCCCCCGGACCCAGCTCAGCCGGACAAGGGCTGCCGCTGGGTCCCTGGCCTCATGCTGTTCAACTTGTTATGAGTGCCTTGGACGGAGGTTGCTTTATTATTTCACTTATTTTTTCTTTTTTTCACTCATTCTAGAGCGAGGGGAAGGGAGGGAGAAGGGGGGAGAGAGAGACTTTTTAAAGGTGCCATTGTTCTCTCTTTGTACTGTGTCCGCCTGGCCCTGCCTCAGTGAGATGACGCCAGGGTAAGCCTTGCAGCTGTTTTGCTGCCCTTCCCACGACAGATTCCTGGACCTCACAGAGCTTGTTGAAAACCCATACACACAAAATCCAGGCCCTTTGGGTCCCACATCACGTTAGCAGACGTGGCCTCTGACCTGCTGTTCTGGGTACCAGCTGAGCCCGGAGCAGCACCGCCCGGCTTGCAAGGTGCAGGAGCGCCACCTGCCGGTGGGAGGAGGTCCGCGAGGGGCGGCGGGTGGAGGGCTACCGAGAGCGCCCGCGTCTTCCCTGCAAAAACCGCGGCTGACGTCAGACACTGCGTGGCGCTCCTCCGCGCTCTCCACCTCCTCGGAAGTCCCTTCTCGCTCTGCGGAGGGTCTTTCTGCCCCCCCCCACACCCCGCCCCCACAGGGAACTGAGCGGGCCGTCCTTCCTGGTTTCCCGTTGGACGCGGGGTTTCGAGTTTCAGCTCCTCCTCGGATCCCAGCGCCTCCTCCGCCGGGATCCCTGCAAGATGGAGCCTCTGGCCGTGCACCCCGGGCGCTGCTCCGGGCCCAGGGCGCGGGTGTTCGCCGTGCTGCTGTCCATGGCGCTGTGCACCGCGATGCTCTTTCTTCTGCAGCTCAGGTTCCTAAAGCCGCGGGTCAGCAGCTTCTACACCTTTGAGGTGAAAGACGCAAAGGGAAGACCCGTCTCTCTGGAAAAGTTTAAAGGCAAAGTAAGTTGCCTCTTCCGACTTGTGTTGCTTTATTGTTCGGCCACGTCCTCCGCGTGTTCTCTTAGTGGAATCGGTTTTCTCGGTTAAACGCTCATGTTATCACTGATAATAAACGAATGCGATTGGTACATCACTTTAGCCATCAGCGTTCTCATAGTTTTTGCGCTTCTAATTGATAAACTCTGATTATCTTAACTGCTTTCTTTAGACTGTTTTCACTTATGGGCCGAATTAATCCTTGAAGTGGTTTAGGGAATCCTCATATGTAGTTTGTAGTGTGAACAGGGAGACATTAACCAAACTGCATGAACATATATTTTTTTTCACAAATCATCGGACTACCTGGTGCTTTTTGAAAGGCCACAGTGATCTTTCGGCGTCTCGGCCAGGCACCCCGGTTACCGCTTTCGGTAAAGCTGGTTATGCCTAAAAGTCTGAAATAACCATCCATCCAAGGTTGTATTTCTGCCCAGGTGGCTTAGGGTTCTGAACTACTGGCAGAGGTTTCTGTCGTTTCTTTGCTTCACTTTCCGGCCGGGTTTTTTCTTTTTCCGGGAGGTCACGCTGGTCGCCAACGTGGCCAGCGACTGCCAGCTCACGGACAGAAACTACTTAGCGCTGCAGGAGCTGCACCGGGAGTTCGGGCCCTTCCACTTCAGCGTCCTGGCCTTTCCCTGCAACCAGTTCGGGGAGGCGGAGCCCCGCCCCAGCAAGGAGGTGGCCTCTTTCGTGCGGAGTAACTATGGAGTCACCTTCCCCATCTTCCACAAGATTAAGATTCTGGGGCCCGAGGCAGAGCCTGCCTTCAGATTTCTCGTTGGTAAGTACCGATCTTGCCTCCCCAATGTAACGTTGCGCGTTGCTTTTTCTTTTTATTTTTTAAATATATTTTATTGATTATGCTATTACAGTTGTCCCATTTCCCCCCTTCACTCCCCTCCACCCTGCACACCCCCTCCCACCCACATTCCCCCCTTTAGTTCATGCCCATGGCTCGTACATATAAGTTCTTGAGCTTCTACTTTTCCCCTACTGTTCTTGCCCTCCTCCATCTACTTTCTACCTACTGTCTATGCTACTTATTCTCTGTACCTTCTCCCCCCTCTCCTCCTCCCACTCCCCTGTTACTATCTGTCCACGTGATCTCCGTTTCTGTGGTTCTGTTCCTGTTCCAGTTGTTTGCTTAGTTTGTTTCTGGTTTTGTTCTGGGTGTGGTTGTTGTTTTTCCTTTTTGAACAAGTGTATCAGAACCAGGCTTCCCAGTTTCATTGGAAATGTTTTAGTGGGAAAGTTTCATAAGATGGCCAAAGAGCCGGAATTTCATCCTTTTGAACTTTGTAGAAGTTATGCTTTCCTGAAATCTATGTTTTAACGTCCGGAATGGCAAGATAAATCTCGCCCTCATTTTATTCCTGACGATCATTTCACTGAAAAGTGCGCTGGAAGGGCAGGCCTAGCTATTTCCGTGGGGCGTCTCCTCCTACTCAGGAGCTTCTGGGGAAGCGCCCCCACCCCAGTGGTAACGGGCCGCTCTCTCGTGAGCGAGCAGGGCAGGGTGGCTTCATCCTCTCTGCGGTGGCTGTACGGTGCCTCACTCCTGAGCTGGCCTCGAGGATAGTAATACTCAGTTTACCGGGAGTTTGCTTAAATTCAAAACAAAATATAAGGATTCTTTCTGGAAGTAGTGTTAGTCTAGCTCTACAATTAGGCTACTGGCTACAGAAATCTTAGATTTTTCCAGGCTCAGTTAGCCTGAAGGGAGTGAGGGTTGGAGATGGAGCAAGTACTTGGGCCCCTGTCCACTCAGCTGCTTTGCTGTGTGGCTTCAGGCGCCTGGTTCCTCGTTTGTGAAACGAGAGCGTCAGTATTGTCTGCCTCCTGATGTTACTGAACAAGAAGTCCAAGGCGGGGCAATACAATATTTGGCCCACCTAGGGATGCCAAAAACTGCTAAAGAACGGGGGCCCCTCCCAAGGACGGAATATTAAAATCTACTGGGCTCTTCTGTCCGCCGCCAATTGGAAAGATATCTCTCAATGCCAGAGATTTGTGAAAAGGAAACAAAATGTTTATTTAATGCTATTCAGGCCTAACACCTCCACTAAAATATCAAAGTCCTTTAGGGTACACTCCTACACTCACACAGCTCCCTTCTCCCACTGCCCCAACTCCGGGTACTGTAAATCAGGAAAAGAGCACACGTCTGTGTTTCAGGCCGCTGGCACCGTCAGCTGTGTCAGGCAGGATCTCAAGTTAATCCAAAGTACTGTGGTACCCTCTCATGGTCCACTGGCAAGAGTTCTTTGTACCCAGTTCCAGTCAAAGTCTCTCCTGCTTTCCAGGCCACGCGGCCAAAGGGGGCACCCCAAAGCCGCGTGGGCCTCTTCTACCAAAGCTGCAGGAGTCCGCACTCCACCAAAAGCATGTGGCTTTCTTCTTCACCTGGCTGCAGGGATCTCCATTCTGGCAAAGCTGCGTGGTTTTCCCTTTCACCTGGGCAGTCATCCCCTCATGTCCTGGAGCCCATCTTTTCCAAGCTCCCACACAGGCCTTCTCACTCAGGAGCGCAGCCCTAGTTACATCCTGGGTAGAAGCCACTCCCTTCCCTCTGGCTCAAAGCTTGGCCACAGCTATTTAACATATCTATGAAACCAGTTAAAGGTTATAGATATGTTAAATAATCATCCAGAGGTTAGCTGCAAAACTGTTGCTATGCAAAACAGCTCTCAATGGCCCTGCTCTATTGGTCCCTTCCCCCTGAGGGGGGAGGTGAGGACATCTTATATGTCTCTCCAATATTCCTGTATACTTAGAATTCTCGACACCATTCAAAATCTATTTTGGGCCCCCCCCCCGGCTGCACCCTGTATCAATATGACCGTGTGGGAGAGCGTGTTAATAGTGTGAGTGGGGCCGCGCACACCGCTGACCCTGGGCTGGACATGTCCTAAAGGATGCTCATGCCGTCAGCGGCCGCGCTCCCCAGTCCTGTTGTGCCTGTGGGTCCCTGGAGTTCTGATGAAACCAGGACTTCATCAGGCCAGGAAGCTTCCGCCCCACAAACCAGCTGAGGGCGCTCCAGGTGCGCCAGGGAGAGAGCAGCCAGGGCACGTGCTCACTTGTCTCACCGTCACCACCACTGGGTGCTGGGGCACCCTCGGTCCTGGGTCCTGGGACGCTTCATCCCTACCAAGGTTCTCAAACCCCACTGTCCCCGTGGGGTCACGAAGTTCACATGATGTAAGCGATCCCCGGAGCCAGGTGACGATGGCCCAGTTAAAATCAGGCCTTTTCAATGGGCCCACCTGGACAGGACCAAGCCTGGTACAGGTGTGCCAGCTGCTCAGGGGCCTGAGTGAGGAGGTGGGGACTGCATCCCAGCCAAGTGGCAAGACCTGAGCTGAGGGGCTGCAGACACGGTCGGGCATAAGGGGCGGGGCAGCGGCAGCCCACTCACAGATGGTGCCTCAGCTGGAGAGAGTGTGCCCTGGGCACGTGTTTCGTTGTGGAAAGTGGCTGTTTGGGGACTTGAGGAAGGGCTTTGATGCAGTGATGTGCTCATGCTGAGTCACTGATGCTCAATTTAATAGGCACAACTTCTAACAACAAAGTAACCGATTTAAATGCTCGGCACACATTCAAAGTACCGTGCACAGAAGTAAATGTTAGGCTACATCTTCCTGGTTTTAAGCTACGCTTCCTCGTGGGCTCTTGTCCCCCTGGAGCGCCTCCCGGCAGTGGGTCCTTCCAGCCACTTGCTCCGTTTCCAGAGGAGGTGACAGGGTGCCTCCCCTCCCCCACCACCTCCTCCTTGCATCGCTGCCCCCCACTTTTGGGCCCTGTGGGTCTCGAGCCTGGCTCCCCTCGGGCCCCTTCTCCTCCTCCTTTTCCGTCCACCCTTAACTCTATGGGTGCTCGGGGTTCTCCCTAAGACCCACTGGGGCCCTCTCACTCCACCCCTGTCTCCTGAGCTCCGAAGCCACAGACCCAGCGGCCCCCTCTGATGGGGCATCCCACAGACACCGAGTCCCACCCACGTGGACAGGGAAGAGCTGGCCCTCTTCCTCCAGAAGGCAGCTGGCTCCGCCCTGTTCCCGGTGGAGGCGACAGAGCCCAAGCTGGGAAAGAGGTTCCCGAGGTGGCCCCGGGCTCTGCCACCTGCTAGCCCTGGGACCCAGAGTCCAGGCCCCCACTTTTCTCATCTGCAAAATGGGGGTGATGATAGTGACGCCCCCGCTGGCGTCACCGTCGTGCTGCAGGGAGCGCACCAGGGGTCCATTCAAAGCCCTGAGCACCGTCACGAGGTGCAGAGTGGGCACTTGGTCGATTTTAGTGCTGATTGTTTGTGGTTTTCCTCATGTCAGTCAGTAATAATACACATAAATCCAGGGGGATATAAATGGGGAAATCCCTGTTCTTATATGTAAATTAGGATGCATCAAAAAGATGCCACAGTTTCTCAATATGATTTAGAATTTACCGTTTTCAGCTATGGAACATGTAACTATGTTAAAACATAGATATGTTTAATATGAAAAGCAATCCACCCATTCCCTTTACGAGGGACTTCTAGAATATCACTTTATCTTTAAAAATGCCAGGAAACAAAGTTTTAAGCGAGTGGTGGGATACATGTTGTATTGTTTAGAGCAACAAATCTGAGATGAAGTACTTCATGACTCTGGGCAGCAGAGTGATTAGTTAGTGGAGTCTCCGCATGTGCACACAGAATCCGGGCAGCGGACCTGGAGCTCTGCTTTGTTCCTGTGGTCTGCTGTGTCCTGTTCTGCTGTGATGACATCCCGCCCCGCCCCCAGGACTTGTTTCTGAAGTTGTCACTCATCGCTAACAGAATTGGAAATCTTGGCAAAGAATAAAATCACGCTCGTGAAAATATATTCTGACTTTTCAGATTCTTCCAAGAAGGAGCCAAGATGGAACTTCTGGAAATACCTGGTCAACCCCGAGGGTCAAGTGGTGAGGTCCTGGCGTCCCGAGGAGCCCATTGAAGCCATCAGGCCTGAGATAGCGGATCTGATTCGACAGATGATCATCAAAAAAAGGGAGGATCTCTGAGAACGCCGCCGCCGCGTCGCTGCAGCGTGGCGGCCGGCACGCGGGGCTGTCTCCCCGAGGGTCCCCGCTCGTTCTAGGTGCTCCAACAATTACCGTGTGGCACTGACGGACGGTTTTCTGTCACCGTGCCGGTGAGTGGTGCTGAACGTCTCCACCACAGAGACATCACCCGAAGCCCAAAGAATCAAAGTGGAATGTGCGCAAGACTTCACTTGACCGCACTAAACAATTCCGAATACGCAGTCGCCACTCTGCTGCAGGAGCCTGGTGTTCAACTTGACCTTTTCTAGGAGCGGCCTGGACGGAAATGCCCGCGCACTGACCGCCAAATCCATGGCCCTGGGTGTGACGGACATGTCTGCAGCAGCTCACTGCAAACGACTATTTTTATGTACTAAAACGCAAAATAAACATTGTGAAATGTATATACTCATAGATTCATAGCCTTATATATTTTTGTCTTTTTCGTATGCAGGATTTTGTTTGTTCATCTTTTGAGTACAATTTCATAGTGGGTTTTACTACATCTGGCCAAAGAGTCATTTGTAAATGACATTATCATAACATTTGAAAAAGCCTTATTTTTTTAAAGATTTTGTTTATTTTTAGAGAGAGCAAGGGAGGGAGAAAGAGGAGAGAAACATCAACATGTGGTTGCCTCTCACATGCCCCCAATGGGGGACCTGGCCCACAACCCAGGCATGTGCCCTGACTGGGAATCAAACCTGCGACCTTTCCGTCTTTATGCCAGGACTCAATCCACAGAGCCACGCCAGCCAGAGCCATTATTTTCAATATTTATTATTTTCCAGAAGAAACTCAAATTCCATAAATACAGTATTAACAGTTGAGTCAGTATCTCTGAGTGGAAACCCCAAGTATAAGAAAAAGGCCATGAATCTATGATCACTGAACTTGAACCCTTGGAGCTCGCGCAGAGTGTTGCAGAGTGTGTGTGTGTGTGTGTGTACTTTCTCAAGGCCCGTGCTCAACATGCGCAGAGTGTTGCAGTGTGTGTGTGTGTGTGTGTGTGTGTGTGTGTGTGTGTGTGTGTGTGGACACACTTTCTCAAGGCCTGAAGCTGTCCTGGCCGAGGGAGGAGCTGCCGCTGCCACCGCCCCCCAGAGTGCTGCAGAGCACAGGGGCCGCCCCAGGGAAGCACCTGGGACACCACCTCCAGGCCAGCAGGGCCGCCCACTCTTTTCCTCCCGGCTGCCCGGGGGCCTCGCTGTTCCCCCCCCCCCACTCCCGTGGAAACAGTTTCTGGACGCGTGTCCTCAGTTTCCTCCTTACACGGGACCCCTTCACTCGTGATTCCGTTCTTTCCCTCCTTTCTCATCAGCTCGGAAATTTGGAACAGCTTCAAGTACCTATTCTCTTTATTGAGTATAAATGTTGGTGTTTTGTATCTTCTCTTTAGCTTACAAACATTCGAACAAAAGGCCAAACCTTCTAAATTTTGTAGATTTTATTTTCATCAAAACTCGAATTTTTATGAAAAATTAACATGTTGAAATTTAACCTTTAAAAACACAAGATGAAAGCGATATTTACACGGAAGCGACGTTCAAACACAAAGATGCCGCAAATGGAACGATACTGGACAGCCACCAAGAGGAAGTGAGACTAGAATAGCAAGATGGGTAAGAATGAAATTACAGGCTTTTTCTTAACCCACGGTTCCAGAATGTCGACATTTAAATAAGGTAAGAATACAAATTGTTTCGCCAATAGCTTACACCCCGGTGAGAAGAGCCTGTGATCTATTTCTCACGCCCCTCGCGGGGAGACCAGGTTGCCCAAACCGCCGGAGCCAACTCCCCGCAACGGCGGCAGGCCCACTGCGCATGCTCTGTGTCAGGCCCAGCCCAGCCAGCCATGCTCCGTGTCTGAATGGCCCCACGGGACTGAGAAAATACTTAAAATCGTGTCGCTCTCCACGAGCTAAAGCTCATGCTCACTTCCAAATATGGGTCTGTGATCTCACTGAAAATGAAGGAAAAAGTAGGGCAAACTTCCAAGTAATTCTATGCCAGCCCACACCTGCACCCCAACACCCCAACTTTCGTGCTGTTTAGAGTGGACACATTTCCCTCCGGAAGGCTGCCCGGGTCCGCCCTTCAGCAGGCGCACACATGGTTGGAGAAATCCGCCAATGCCGTGCGGCAGACCACTAAAGACGGTTGAAAACCTGGGGAAACATTTTATGCTTTTATTCCAAATTGTCATTATATTCTAAGTTTTTTAATTAAAATAAATATTGAGCCCTGGCTGGTGTGGCTCGTGGATTGAGTGCCAGCCTGTGAATCAAAGGGTCGCCAGTTCAATTTTCAGTCAGGACTCATGCCTGGTGTGGGCTGGCCCCCCCAGTAGGGGGCGTGTGAGAGGCAACTACACAACGATGTTTCCCTCTTTTTCCCTCCCTTCCTCTCTCTCTAAAAATAAATAAAATCTTTTTTTAAATAAGAAATAAAATAAATATTGAATTTCACAAATACTTTAATACTGCCTACAAGTATTAGAGACTCCAAATTATTACCTGGAAACTTTTAAAATAATTGGAGTTGCTTCTCTAAAGCTGTCTATTGCACTATAAACAGGTAACTGAATAGCGACCGTATGTATTTTGGTACTTACTTGCTGATTCACAGCAAAAAGTGCACGCACACAACTTACAGGTTTAACTACACGCTGGTGCTCATTGTAGATGCAATGAGATAGCAGGTGCGTGTTAGCTGATGTCACTTGCACATCAACCAGCTAACAATACACTGCCAGCCCATCGCACACAGTAGCCAGTGGGCGTCGCTCACCAGAAGAATGTGTCCAGAAGCAAGTGGCAGGGTGGCTGTGGCTGCCTCCAACCCAAAGCAGCCAGCTAACAACACACTGCCTGCCTGCCTCAGGTCGCGGGCGCGTCTCACGGCCACGAGGCCACTGAGGCCAGGCTCTCAGTACGAAACACAGCGGAGGAACTGAGGTCTCAAAACGGTCACACAGGAGAAAACTCACAGCCCAAGTGGGTTCCTCCAAAACTGTCGTGAGAAATAACACCAACATTTTATTTAATCTTGCTAAAAAGTTTAAAACCTTCAAAATGCTCACTCACACTTGAGGTTGTCCCAATTAAAAGCCTGGACATGAAGACAGTTCCTGCAGGAGAAGCAGGAGTTTAAAGTTGTACTTGACTATGGCCTTCCCCGTCACTTCTGTGCCCTCAAGGCCGGCTGTCTGTGCTCCGCAGTGAAACGCTGAGGAGCCAAGGCACTAGCACAGAAGCGGGCACAGGACGAATCTTCAGCTGTGTCTGGGGAAAATCGATATTAAAGGATTTAGGGAATTTAAGAACTTAAATGTCATGTGCTGCGCCCATGATAGGCTATTAGTCATTGCATTCTACAAGTGCAGGTGTGTGTTCAAGTTACTGTATCACCACTTAGAGAAAAGTTTAAAGAGCAGAAAATTCTATGCGAATGGTGATACCTTCGAAACTAGAAGCTGTGAGCAGAGGTTAAAAGAACGTGCCCAGCCAGCTAGGCAGAGGGAAAGTGGGTGGTGGTACTGAGAGATTTTAGCATTCGAGGACTGTGTATGTGGAAGAAATAAGAAAAAAAGCACTTGGATTTGTTTCGTGGTCACTCTGACCACAAGAGGAGCTAAAGGCCTCTGGGTTCCCAGGGAAAGCGATGCGTAGGATCAACCCCACAACCACTGCGGTGCTCGCCTGTGCGCCGTGGGGATGCCACCTCTGCCCACCAGAGGGCGCCGTCCCCGGCCCTTTGGGGGCGAGCGGCTGGAGACCCCGCTGGGGAGAGCAGCCCGCGAGCCGTGCGTGCCTACCTGACACATCCAAGCCGCGCCCTTTTCTGTCGAGGCAGAAGCTAGGCAATGCCATTCGGATCCAAGTCCTCACCACTGTTTGCCAGGGGTCCTGGGCTCCTGGCCGCCCTCGTTCTAGCACGTGATTGAACTCCGAAGTTAATGTTACCATGTTTCCATACTTTCAGATCAGCGCGTACTTCCCTCAGCCGTCTTCTTCAGCAGCACTCGTCTGTTCAAGGTCAAATCTAATACAGAAACCAGCGCCAGCGCGGGACACTCACCTGGGGGGGGGAGCCGTGACTTCTATCCTGGCGCCTCTGGCGAGCCCCCGGCGTGGCCTTCTCTGAAAAGAGAGAGAACAGGGGGAGAGAGAAGCCGTTTAGGAAAGTCATGTCAGGTGGGGATGTTTCCAGACGCTCCTCCGCTCTCGCTTTTCTAAAGCAACCTCTGGTCCTAGCCAAACTGCGCCGGACCGAGTCCCGGTCGGGGTTCAGACTCGTGCGCTACCCTCCGTCCCACACAGGTGTGCCGAAGGTGCCCTCCTCCGCACGCGGCCCCGTTGGGGGGCCTGCGGCCGGGAAGCCCAAGCGCCTCCCCCTCCCGCAGCCCCTCTTCCTCCGCACGGAGCCTCCGCGGGGCGGCGCGCTCCAGCCTCCACGCTCGCCGGGAGACTCCAGGTGTCGCCGGTTTGGCCCCCAGGCTGCACCAGTCTTGACGCCTAGTCCAAACCGCTAGCATCTCGTACCCCGGAGCCGCCCTAGCTCAACCCGCACGCCCGGCTCCGCGGCTCCAGTCACTGTGGCCGGAGCGCAGTCCGCGGCACACTTTAAAGAGCCGGCCGGGCGGCGGCCGGAGCGGGAATCCCCTCTCCCGCTTCCCATTGGCCAGCGCTGCGGTGACGTCAGGGCCGCGGGGCTTCCCCCGCACGCCGCGCGGGCCCCGCCCCTCCGGCCCGGCCGCCCTGCGTCCGCGGCGGCGCGCCCGGGCGCGCCAAGCTTTGCCGCGAGCGGTGGCGGGCAGAGTGGGACCCGGTGCCGCGACCGTCCCCGCCGCGGGGGCCGCGGGGTTTGGCGGGCCGAGAAGCGGGAGAAGGGAGTTCACGTTCTTCCCACGTCCAGAAACCGAGACACTCCGTTTTAACGTGTCCCGATGCCTTTTCCCCAGCGCCCGTCTTCCTCCCGACCCCGTCCTGCCTCGGAGGGGCCGCGGGGGGCGGTAACTCCCGCCTTCGCTCCGTTGGGGACGGTCCCCGTGCGCGTGCCCCCAACCGGCCTTCAACGGACGCGAACTCTGCGCCCCGCGCCCACTGCGTCCTCCCTGCGCCGCCCGCAGGGTGCGGAGCGCGCGTCCCCAGCGGGGCGGGGGCGGAGCCGGCGCGGAGCCCGCAGAACAGCTGGGCGGGCTGCGCTGCGTGGTCAGGACGGGCTGACACTGGGCCTGAGGGAGGGGTCCGCAGGGAAACGACGAGGGGCCGGGTGGCCGCCGGCCTCCGCCGTCCCGCCCGAGCGGCCGCGCCGCGGGAGGGGAGACTGCGAAACCTCCGGCGTCCGGCGGCGGCTTCCCCTGCACGCGCCCGCCCGGTGTGACTTGG